TAACAAATAGAACTTTCTTTTTCATGGGTTTCTTGTCTTGGGATCAATTTGTTGTAGCAGCTCAACAATCTCACATTCCTCAACAACAGAATGAACATGCAAGACAGCTTTATACCCAGCTGTAAATATTGCCTAAAATAGCAGGGACAGTCTAATACCATTAGATGCAAGGTTAATCAAATTAACTAAAAGATTAAAGACAAGAGAGGACTTTATAATGTGGATTCATTCATACATTGTCAAGCAACTCAAGGATCTGCAGCTGGGCTGTAAATTCAGTGACTGTTGGTATTGGTTTTGCTGGGTAAAAAAGGAAAAAAAAAGGGATATAATCGAGAAAAACTTAAAACAAAGCACAAATAACACTTCAGAATCAAAATTAGAAAATAAGTATAGAAAGGGATGGTGAGGCCAAGATGTCCCAGCATTGCTGTCAAAAACTACCAAAGAATGGAAATATTTCTGCAAACAAATTTGTAAATCAACCTACAATTTACTTTTTAATTCCGCTTTCCATAATCTAATTTCCTCTTTAGGGGATCAAACATGAGAATGTTCAGTTTTTACAATCTTTAAAGCACTTACCAACATTACACAAGACAAAACCAGATAATATGTCCTCTTCTTCAATTCCAGATAACTTAACCCGCAGATTGTCACCAGGTCCAACACTTGTAGCCTTATCTTCATCACAGTAAATGGCAAGAACTTTCACTTGAGCCTGCCATCCATGCATCTTGGACCTCAGAATCAAAGTTAAACAATAAATAAAGAAATAAAGAAATTAGGTGAAAGACTACGCACCTTGTTTGGCATGACCAATAAGCAATCACCCCCACACATGGTACCAGATTCAACCTTTCCCATTACGACAGTTCCCATGTCTTTAAATTTGTCAATTATAGGCATCCTGAATATTTAGAAAATACACAGTTAATAGATGTGAAATCAAAGATTGATACAGCCTTGATAATTCAGAATCTATATTGAGTAACTTTAATTTTAGCAATTTAGGGTTCTATTTTATTATACTTAAGTTTTTCTATGTTCAGGGACAGACTTAATATAATTTCAGTTTCATGATTTAGGTTTTCTTTTTAAAATATAATTTGGGTACATTTTGGTCATTCTAGGATCTTTAGGAGTTAGATTTTTTAGGTCCTATTTTCT